CGAAGGAACGGGAATGGGAACGGGAGAGGGAACGAGGGCGGGAGCAGGGATGGGAACGGGGCCGGGGAACGGGAATGGGAACGGGGGCGGGAATGGGAACGGAATGAGGGCTGGGAACGGGAATGGAGGCGGGAATGGGGCCGGGAACGGAAACAGGAGAATGGGAATAGGAATGGGGACGGTAAGGGGAACCGGGAGAGGAACGGGAGCAGGGAACGGGAACGAGAATAGGGGCAGGAACGAGGGCGGGAATGGGACGGGAATGGAATGAGAATGGGGGCCGGGAACGGGAGCGTGAACGGGGAACGGGAACGGGGCCAGGAAGGGGAATGGGGGCAGGAACAGGAACGGAATGGGGATGGGAATGGGGCCAGGAAGGGGGATGGGAATGGGAACGGGAACAGGAACGGAACGAGAATGGGGAATGGGAATGGGAACGGAACAGGAACGGGAACAGAACGGGAATGGGGGAGGGAACGGGAGCGGGAACCGGGCCGGGAACGGGGAAACGGGAACGGGGGTGGGAACGGAGCCAGAATCGGGGTGGGGATCGGGGCTCGGCCGGGGCTCCGTGGCTGGCGGGTGGTGCTGAGGGGTCCCCTCCATGTCCCCGCCGTGTCCCCGCCGTGTCCCGCAGGCGCCTGGAGCGAGTGGCCCGTGGATCACCTGCTGCGCTCCGGGCACATCGCGGTCAGGGACGGGGCTGCCGTGCGCTGGTTCCACGCTGCCAACAGCCGGGCCCGGGCGGCGGAGGCGGCGCGGAGTGAGTGAGGGACCAGCCCTTCCTGAGCCCTGTCCCCTCCTCAGCCCTGTCCCCTTCCTCAGTCCTGTCCCCTTCCTCACCCTGTCCCCTTCCTTAGCCCTGTCCCCCCTCCTCAGCCCTGTTCCCTTCTCAGCCCTGTACCCTTCCTCACCCCATCCCCTTCCTCACCCCTGTCCCCCTTCCTCAGCCCTGTCCTCCCCCTCCTCACCCTGTCCCCTTCCTCACCCTGTCCCCTTCCTCAGCCCTGTCCCCTTCCTCAGCCCCTGTCCCCCTTCTCACCCCTGTCCCCTTCCTCAACCCTTTCACCTTCCTCACCCCATCCCCCTTCCTCAGCCCTGTCCCCCTCCTCACCCCCAGGATCATTGAGTCCACACCACTTTTAAATCTCCCTGGGGATGGGGACTGCACCCTGCCCTGGGCTGCTGTGCCAGGGATTGACAGCCCTTTCCAGGAGGGATTTTCCCACTGTCCAGCCTGACCCAAGGTCGTTCCCTCTCCTCCTGTCTCTGTTCCCCTGGAGCACAGCCCAATCCCCCCGGCTGCCCCCTCCTGCAGAGCCACAAGGTCTCTTGTGCGCCAGCCTGAGCACCAGTGAATTTTTAATAAATTTAAGTGAATATTCGATAAATACGTATTTGAGTAAGTTTATATGTAATGTGCATTATCTAGCTTATTTATTCGTATTTCAGTCTAATTGTGTGTATTGGATTCTCTGTCCACATTCATTACWTAAAGCTGTTTTCAAGAGGTTGAGCACGCTTAAGACTCCTCTTCCCGTGCCTTGTGTGCCAGCTAACCTTTTCCTGCTCAGTTTTGACACTGAGTCAAGGGAATTGCTCAGTCTCTGCCAGTGTTAACTCCTSTGTTCATCCTTCCTCTGTCAGGAAMCCTGCTCTGAGAGGAAAAGATTTGAAATCTAACAATAATGGATTCACATGYTGGATGTCCATTTGTCTTTTCCTCTGAAGAAAACACCCTACATGGTTACTTGGCCAAATAATCTACAAAGAACCATTTTCACATGTGTGTGCATGTATAAAGAGTGACTGAAATACCCCAAAAATTGCACCTTTTATGTCACAGGCAGCCTTTCCTGGAGTAAAGGTGCAGTGTAGAAAGTCTTGCTGGGTTATTGTTGTCCTGAAGCCTGGAATCTGTGTGTACACCTGTCTGAGGTTTAACTCTTCAATCCCCAGGTGATGTGCATATGGTCGAGGCGGATGTTCTGCTCCGGGCAGGGAGTGGGGTCCCCATCCTGGCTCACCCCCCAGACACTGACAGTGACATCACCCTGCAGGAGTGGCTGGCASAGATGGCCAGCACCGATAAAGGCATCAAGCTGGATTTTAAGAGGTAACTCAACTCAGAGGTTGTTATGTTATTTGTATTTTTACCAATTAAATCTGCAGGTGATTGTCAACCTCAGTCCTCCTTACTGCACAGTTTAGTTTGATGCATTCTGAAWSATGATCCATATGGAAACATARTCCATATTACTCAAAGCATGGCAARAACAAAACTTCAAAAGTGTTTTGAACTACAGATAAAGTTTTTTTTAGTCAGTGAATTAGTTACTGTGAGCAGAACTTCCCCATCAGGAAGGTGAAACGATGGTGTCTCTCTGGAAGGCTCCTTTCTTATTAACTAACTTATTAACTGAATGTTCAGAGGTTCATTCACATTTTGAGCTGTTTCATTCTCTCCAGTGGAAAATACACCTGAAAGCCCTGTGAGATTGCCTTGGAGGAGTTTGAAGTGTGCTGTGATTTCCAGACATGCACGCTTTCAGCTCCTGGTTTCGTCTGAATTTCCATGTGCTAAGCCTGTTTTGAGGGCAAATTACAAAGAGCTTCATCAGTGCTGAAGTACTCCATGGAAATGCAAAAAAAACCCCACTAAAAAAAAACCCCTCAACTTTACTAGCTGTAAAATGTGATTTATGCCTGTGGTTCTGTGTTACACAGTCATGTTTTTCATGTGAAAGTTCACAAAAGTAGAAAACGTGTGCAAGCTAAATTCTTTCATTGTTACGGGTGCTGTGTGTGACTTTCTGGGCAGAGAAATGAAAAAAAGAGAATAGGAATTTGTTCGGGATTATTTCTTGTGAATTTTGGTGGGGCTTTTTCCCCTCCATTTTAATTATTGTTTAAATCAATTTTAAACCACCTGGCTTCTGTTTTCCCACAAGGAGTACACAGCCAAGTGCAGTGGTTCAAAGAAGCTTTTAAAAGTACATTATGTTATAAAGTTCTAATTGTATTAAAGCATTTAAAAATATGTCACATAGTGGAGATAGGGTCAAGAAAGTGACAACAGAATTTGATGTTCCTTTGTGTACTATTTATCTGGATGCCCTTGCTGAAGTTTTGAAGATTATTTCAATTACTTCAGCACTTTAAAAATTATCTTCTATGTCTACTCTATCAGCTTGGTTGACCACATAATTTTATTTTATGCTGGTTTTGGCTACTGAAATTAGTGTATTCTGCAAAAAGTCTTCAGAGTCCTACTTAATCCCRAGTGAGTGGAATTCCTGTGCTCAGTGCTGCTTTCTCAACACTACAGGTGACAAAATGTACAAAATTCCTTTACAGAGGAAACCAACTCAGTGGGACAGTTGTTGCCTTGAGAACCAACGTAGTTTCAAAACTTTGACCATATTGATTTTAAATTCCTTGATGTTACATAGTGTGTTGATTAACGTGCTGTGAGAGAGAGAAGATTTTCTTGGTGTTCATTTTTTTTCCCCATTGTTCCACATCTCCTTTTCTTCCACAGTACTTAGAAAAGTTTGGGTAGGATGGAGTTAGAAAAAGCTAKTGGTGCTTTTTATTTTGGTTTAAAAGGACAGCAGGAATACCACAATACCAATAGATGACCACAGATTTTGTTAAATACTCACAAGGTGTGTTGTGCTGTACTGGTTGCTCAAGTGACAGCAGCTCATATATAATAATTTAACAATTAGCTATATTAGCTATATTTAATTAGATGAATGTTGGACAGGCAGCGTTCTCTATGCTGCCACACTTTTGAACTGTGGGAAAAGCCACGACCAGGCATTGAATGTTCAAACGGGTGCCTTTTCACYCTTTCAGTTGCCTGAAATTGGTCAGTTTTGGGCTTTTCATTCTCCTAGCATAGGTTTATCACCTTGCACTGAGTCTGGTTCTGAAACAGTGATAAAATCTTTGCTTCTTTGAGCATGGTGAAGGTGGGGAGAGATGACTTTGACTSTCGGTACTGAATTTACAGCATGTGAGTGGTCAGTGACACTGCTGTCCTTGCTGTGCTGACCCCACCCTGTGTCCTGGCACAGCCTGGACGCCGTGGGACCATCACTGGAGCTGCTGGGGGAGATGGGACATTGCCTGGACAGACCCGTGTGGCTCAACGGGGACATCCTGCCCGGACCCCACGCCAGCCACGCTCCGCTGGATGCCCGCGCCTTCCTGGCCACTGTCACCTCGTCCTGCCCCGAGGCCACCCTGTCCCTGGGCTGGACCACGGGCTGCCACCAAGGGCAAGGTGAGGGCAGGGCTGGGGCTGTCCCTGCATGCCGTGTTGGCTTCCAGCAGCTCCCTGGGCTGAGGCTCTTGGTGGTTCTGGGGTTCTCTGCTGTCCTGGGGTGTGACCATGCCCTGCAGYGCTCATTTCAGYGCTGGGCTGGCARCAYAGTGCAAATCCCAGCTTGGGGTTGTTACATGAGCTGGTTGGTGTTTCCCTCCCTTCTCACCTTTGAGGGACGAGCTCCACACCCTCTGTTCAGGGAGGGGTCTCCCTCCTTGGAGCATTGTTTTTGTGATCACAATCCTGGAATGTTTTCTGAGGGAAAGTAGATCAGGCGAGAAGTTCAAACCCTGTCTCTGGTTTTTTTTTTTGATCACTGAAATCAAATTGTGGGTCACTCTAATCCTAACATCTTTGAATGTATACTCTTTCTCTTGGATAATTAAGTTTTTGCAGTAAATTTTCCTATTTTCATTGTTTTAGGGTCTTTTTCACAGGCTTCCTCTTGCAATTCTCATTGTGATCTCCAGTACTGTCTGGGGCCACCATGGCAGGATTATACACCGTTCCTATTGCTAATTACTCATTAGCAAGATGGAGCATTTTGTTGTATGATAGACTGCAATKTTATTAAACTGTTCAGTGCTTTCTCCCAAGTGTTGTCAGTGCAGGAAGAAACTACTGGAAAATGCATTAGAAATACTGAGTGAACTTTGAAAATGAATGCTTTTTTATCTCCATTCTAAATTTCAGTTTATGGAAATACTAACTAAGGTTCTACAGTAAGACTTAAGAAAACCAGCTTGTTCGAGTGATTTCAACTAGAAGTTGCTGCTTGCCCAATAAAACTTTTTATTTTAATATTTAATGCTTTTTTAGTCTTTCTAGTCATTACTTTACGTATGAGTAATTGAGATGAAAGCTGTTAACTGTTGTTACAAGGTTTTCATGGCCTGTAGAAACAAAAGAACAGTTAAATATAATTTGAAATAGCTCCAGTYCTTGTAAAAATTTCAGCAAGGGCATTTTCAATGTTTTAGATTGCTTGATTTTATAATTTTTACACAGAAAATGTTTTTGTCTGTGTATGCCTCATTTGTGTATACCTTAATTCCTAGTGGATTTATTTAATTTTTTGTCCTAATTTTTTCTTCATGWCTTTGTTTTTAAAGGGTCCCTGACAATGTAAAACTAATCCATATCGAAGTCAATGGCAGCAGAGTTTTTTTTAGAGAAAGGGCAAAGATGCATTAGAAATTCTGTAGATATATGTGAAGTAAGTACATTTGTAAGGACTGGGAGATAAAGGTTTTCGCAGTGATTTATTTTAYATTTTACATTTATTGTGTTTATTATTCCCAAGCTGCTGCTGTGTCCCTGAGCTGGTGTGGGGCTGTGGGAGCCGTGTGGGGTCTGAGTGCCATCTCTGTCCCTGTCCCCAGGCTACGAGTGGCCCATGGTGCAGGACATGTCCCGGCTGTGCCACTCGCTGTCCCAGCCCGTCACCTTCCCGGTGCGCGCCGCGCTGGTGCCCGGCTCCATCCCGCAGCTCCAGTGGCTGCTGCAGCAGTCCCACAGGTCAGTGCTGCCCCACAGGTCAGTGCTGCCCCACAGGCCAGTGCTGCCCCGTCCAGCGGCCCCACAGCCCCGCTGACCATCCAGGATCCCCCGTGGGACAGTGCCAGGGCCTCGCTGCTCGCCTGTCCTGTCACACAAACACGTGCCGTGCTTATCCCACCCATGCTGGAAATRCTTTCYCATCTTTATTTCCCTCGGGTCTCCRYTGTTTGTTTCCTCAGACAGAAGCAGTCACTATTAATTTTCTTTATTAATTCTTTAAAATAATTAAATTCCAGAAGCTTCTTTTGCATTTCCTACAAAGAGGAATTTTAAACGGTGCATGGGTTTGTCATCCAGTTCTGCTCCAGACGTTTTCTGAGGTCAATACACGTAAATAGACTAAATAGTTTGATGTTGCAGTTGGGAATTCATGCAATCTAAAGACTTTGTATTGAATTCAGTATTTTTGTAGCAACGTCACCTGAAAAATGTCAAAGATGATTTTTATGTTGGAAGTCAGGTGTTTCCCTCAAAGCTAATTAATTTTGCTGAGGCACTTGAAGTTTATTCAGTGGTTCTCATACACCAGCTTACATTTTCCTTTAAAATCTACTCTAGCAAACCCATAACCATTTAATTATAAAAATTATTCACATGTAATAGAACAAGAATAAACTGAGCTTCCCACATATTGACATTTACTMATTTTTTTCACCTGCTCTGCCTACCTGGAGTTTAATAACGTTGTTCCAACCAAGGTCAAGGCCCAAGACAGAAAACTTGGTAGAGTCTCTGAAAAATTTCTAATTATTTAAAAAAAACAGGGTGGGCAAATAAAGTGCTGATATTCTTGTTTATGATGAAGATTCAAAGCAGAAATTAGAATTAAGCATTTCAAACTGGGAAATTGATTTAAAAATGTTACTTCATTAGGATTMTGTTGCATGAATTGTGCCAGTCTCAGTATGTCCTCAGTGGGTACAAACATTATTCCCACTGAAATACTARGATTTTCTCTTTTACCTCAGCATRAAATTTGGGTTTTTTTAGTGKTATAATTAGAAGACAGAAWTTCCTGAGCCAGTTTTGCTCACATACAACTGAATTTTGATTTACTCATTTTTTAAAATTAATGCAGTTTTGTTAAACAAAGGGAAAAACTTAGTATATGTCACATGGAGATTGTGGAGGATAATGCCTTTAACAGAATAACACTTTTGGGRGTTTTCAGCATTTTTGGGCAAGTTCTGTGCAATTAATGAGAATTGGGTTAGGTGGCATCTCTACACATCACTGACGTGTCCAAGCACAGAGCACGACTCCTAATTTGAGGCTCAGTTCGTGACTGTTGAATACTTTATCAAACCTTAAATGCTCAGGCTGGTGAATTTCTTTGCTTGATACTGACCTGAGGTGTTTTGTTTTAACTCCTTCCAGGGTTGGGCAGAACAGTCACATYGATGAATTTCAAATGAATTTGTCTGGGAGTGCAGTTTTTGGTATTTGATTACAATTCTAAAATTAAAATACCATAAYCCTGAATATTTTTAGTAGCTTATTAGTGCAATGTCTTTGTTGTTTACATGCTTTTTTCCTAACATAYTCTTTTTGTTTTGTTTTTGTTTTTTTCTCCCATTGTTTTGGACACAGATACAGCCTCACTGTTTGGACAGGAAAGGAAGACCTGTATTCTGTAGAAGACTTGCTTTTCATCCGAGAGAACTTTGATAAAAGTAGGGTCTATTATGATATTTTTGAGCCACAAAATACTGMATTCAAAAAAGCCATTGGAATAGAAAGGTAAATGCAAAGCAGGCAGTGCCTGACCTTGTAACACTTTATATTGCAAACCCCTTTAAACGTGAGGGTTTCTTGTTCAGAGAGATGCATTTCACTTTCCAGAAGGATTGTACCCCTGCARCTCCCAGGGCAGGGCTTCACAAATTCTCCAAAGTGGAAATTTCCTCCCAAAAAAAGCTAAAACCCTGCTAACCACCTGCAGGAAGAGCCTGACTTGGTTCATTTGAACCATTTGTTGCCTGTTTTGCTTCTGCATCCCCCAAAATTGACACAGACTGAGACACYCGCTCTGTGGGATCGGCTTCTGCCACACACCGTGAATGATACAATAAAAACCAAAGGTTTYTTCCACGATGGCAGGGGACTTTTTAACCTCTGAATAAAAGCTGGTGCTGTGAAGGGCATTACTCTGTCAATACCTTGTCCTTTTCCCCGTCCCTCTCCTGTGGGTCCTGTGGGAGTTTTGTCAATTCAGGTATTGTACACAACATTTTACAGGCTGTTAGTACCAAAGTAATTTGCAGCCATTTTTGGTTGTTTTGTGGCATTGGAACAGCTGTGATAGAGAAGTGAGTTACATTTCATAATGCTAAATCTTGAAATAGAGTGATTTCACAGAGCCATTGATATTCAAGACTCCCTGTTGCCTTTGAGAGATTTATCTAATAATGGTTTTCTGTTATTGAGGAGTAGAGCTTTCCTCCTCATTTTTGTCATCTATTAAGATATGCTTAACTAAAATTAGGAAATATTTTTCTGCATAAAGAAGAAAACTACATGATTATACTAATAATAACCAAACAGACTTATTTTAATTTGCAGCAGCAGGCGAAGTGAGTGGCAGTAACCACAAAGGGTCAGGCTTGGCTGTGTGATTTCTGTAGTGAGTTTGGAGAAATTATTTATTTTCCAGCTGTAGTTTGTTGCAGGCAGTTGCATTCATTGATTTAAGGGATCTCATCTCTCATTAGAAAGGCCTTTTTGGGTCCACAGGGACAAATTTTTCTGTGTTTTAGAAATCTTCTTTAGAAATCTGTGTTTAGAAATCTTTAGAAACAAGTTCCCACATGAAGTACTGGGATTTGTTAAATCTCATTAAAACTGTTAAGTAAAAAAAAAAATCAGCAATTGCCAGAAATATTTTAAAGGAAGAAGTATCTCTGAGCAATATGTCTGTGGATGTCAATAAACAGGGATAATCAGATGAAATTAAAAGAAGACAYAATCTGAATTACCAGGAAATGGCTKYGTGRTKAATTTGATTAATCTGTATGGATTATCATGTGTATATGAATTTCTGTACCTATGGATCTTTGGTAGACCCTTGTGACATTTTTATATCTGTCTGGTCTGACTTGCACATCAATAAATTATTTGATTTTGTTTCTCTGTGTTCATTTAAATGCTCTCCTAAAACCAAATGTGTTACCTGTGGGGCTGGCAGTGAGGCAGYGAAGAGGAGATGAAACCAGATATTAATTCTGGTGGAACAGCAGGTCTGTGTCTCAGCTGTTGCTGCCTCCTAGTTTAATTTTTACTTTAACCTTCTTTCAGGGATCTTCCACTTGTACTATAAAAACCATTTGTAATTTACTGCAGTTTCAAGCCTTACATTTCTCCGTGAATGTGAAGTATCTTGGTGAAGAGATAACGTGGTACAGAAGASAGTTGTCATTGTGTCCTGACGTGACAGGGAAGCGTGCTGGTGGGAATAAAGCACAAAATATTTACCAAAGTTTCTGTTTTTTTCAAATGTGCTCTGGAATCAAAGAAAACACTCCCAAAGACACGCTTTTCACCCATGGTTCTCCATCTGATGTTCTCCATCTTCAGCATTCATTCAAAGTGTTACTCATTTTTAACCTGCTCTGACTGAAATAAAAATCAACAAGCTGAGTATTTTTTTTTCCAATTCATGCCTTCAAATTACATCTGAAATTATGCTGAGGGTCTTTATAACTTATTTAGTAACATGGTGACTAAGTGGCCCTGTCCTTTAAGGAAAAAAATTACAGAAATTCGAGTGTTGGGATTAAAAATATTTGGATTGGTTTGTTTTAAAAAGGTTAGAGAGGAGAGCCTATTTRAGCAGCGTGACTTCTACCCTACATTATACCCAAGAAAGTGGGGAACTTTTCCATAGATTTCAGTGTTCCTCTGAAATTTCTTGATTACAAATGTCTTTCAGACTATTTTTTTTGATAAGAATAAAGGTGCTAATGTAATAAGAGGCATTAAAGTAAGAGGAAGTGTTTGGATCATTATTTAAGGAAAGGTTTATTGATCCATAGCCTTATATTAATTAGGGACCTTTTTCTTGCACAAAATACATAATTTCTTGACAGTTTAACTGAAAACCAATATTGTTGTATTTTGATACTTCTCAGTTTGTTAATTTTTTTGTCRCAGGTATATCCATTTGCTTCCAGTAAAATTCAAACTATTGTGCTCTATTGTCTTCTGAAGCTTGAACTTTCATCTTTTTGGGGTAGTTGCATGTTGGTTTTCAATATCCTGACTATCTGGCGTAATTTCCTTGAACTCCCTTGAATTACTACTTTTGCTTTGTAGCCTAATTCCCTTGAATTGGTTCCCTTGAATTTTCAAGGGATTTTCTGTCATTTTTGCTTCTGCTGTCTGGTGGTGTTTTCTCTCCTTGCAGAGGAAAACAGTCCCTGCACGGGTTCACGGTCTCCATGGGGATCTGCCCAAGCAGAATTAGTTTTAGTGGTTTTAAAAGTTTTCCCTTTAATGTATTTTCACAATGTATGTCCAGGCCAGGTGTGCACTTTAGGATGGACTGGTTTTTGGGAGAAGGAAGGCTGTAACTCACTCCATCTGTGAAACACTCATCAAAGWGTTCACAATTGATGATGCTTTCAGGGAAAAAAAAATACAGGAATTAATTGCAGAACCTCAGCGTGCTTCTGTATCTGGATTTCAGGAATTTGGGAATAATTAACCTGTGTACATTTCTAGAAAACATCTGTGGTGTTCAGTGTAAGAGCTCAGCTATTTTTMAATAGCTGGACATGAATTTTGGGACAAAACCCCTGGATTGACATGAGCTCTGGAGCTGCCTGCGTCACCATTCCAGGAAATGCCCGGCTCATGTAACAGGTGCTGCTGAGGAACAGGGATTTTGCATATATATATGTACATAATTTTTTTTAAAAAAGTTTAATTTTTAGAGGCCTAGAAGGCCTGTTGTCTTTCAAAGAGGATTAATGKCAAGGTCTTTTATTGGAATAATTAGGATGACAATCGGAATTTTATTCCTTTGCCTCTGAATTAAAAAACCCCTGAGCTTTCTTAAGTGTTTCCTTATGAAACCTGATCTCCTTCAAGTAATGCAGTGTCAGTAATTCTTTCGATTGATAATGTAACAATCTTTATTAATAAATACCTTTTTTTAGTTGGAAAAGTAATTAGTTGTGCTGCTATCGGATGCAGAGAGAAAAGGGTCTTATTTGGGATTGATGAAGAAAAAAAAGGTAATTTAATGACTTTTGTTTATTATTTTTCTTGTGGAGCTGCATCAAATTATGGCAATATTCTTTTGGAAGCGCTGTGTAATTGTAAAAGACAAAGATCAAAACAAAGCAATTACTCCTTAAAAGCAAAACCAAATTAAATGTGCTGGGAAAGATATTTCGAAGACCGTATTTTGAACATTGCACCTTAAACACAACCTTGAAAACCTCTGGTTTACGGCATTTTTGTGTAGTGACTTGCTGTTCCTAAGTCTCTTTGACCAAAATAATGGGAGTTCTCAAATAATCACTGGTTTTTGTGAGGCTGCCAACCATTCGTTTAGAAGTTACTTTCATCGTACGGTTTCACAGCATTTTGCAGRGAAAATGAAGGCTTGAAGTAAGAAACGAGAAAAAAAAAATTGTTTTTCACCTCTCCAGACTAACCAGGTAKATTTCAAATCCTTTGTGTGGCTGTCGCGGCAGGGATGCCAGCTCCGCCCAGTGCCACCGTGTCACTGCGGTGGCTGAGGGGTTGGGCTGGGGCACAGGAGATTTCTGATTTTCCTCTGGGAGGTGYGAGATGAGGAACACAACCCTGGACATCAGCCGGGGAAGCGTCCAGCCGGTGCTGGACACATGCAAGGCCCGGTTTGTGAGCCGGGTGTCTCGGGGAGGGAGGGATTTTACATCAGAACTCGGGGTCAGCCCGACCGTTCTTTGCTGAAAAGAACATCGCGGGGCTGGGAAATGTCATGGATTAAGACTTCAAAGATAACACGAGTGCAGCTCTGCTCCACAAGTGGAAACACAGGAAGCCACCGGCCGGTGGAAAGAGCCTCTCTCGCACCGCACTTTGGACAAATTTAGCTCTATTGGATTACATCGAAGTAACTGTTCCCATTTTCTTGTACAGGGGCAGCCTGAGAAACACTTCTGAGTGAGTACCTTTGGCAGTGACTCATCATTTCCTGAGTGGTGAATAAAAGCATGTGCTTATTTCCATGTTCCCTCTGTGGGGGAAAAAATAACTTTTATTTATTCAGCATAACAACATCAAGAGAACAAAGCTTTTTTTTCCTTTGAAGGTAATTTGTAACAGTAACAAACAATAACATTAACACTTAACACTACTTTGCATCACAATCACAAAATACTGGTAACACTATCGAAAAACTTCCTCTTTCAAGACATTTGCCACTTCCCTCCATTGTCTGAGCATTTTGTAGAAAAATTCTGGTTTTATTGAAGGGAGTCATAGTCTCGCATAGATAATTACTTTTAAAATCAAAATGGCTTAAATTGGGCTTTATACCCTCAGCAAAGATACCAGTTAGAATACGTGGTGATTGATAGTAAATTTCTTCTAAAAAAAAGAATTTGTGTTTTTTAAAGATCCATTTTCCACTTCAAATATTTAATTTCATTATGAGATGAGCAGATGAGAAATTGCCATTTCCTTTTACAATACCATGAAAAYRTTTGGAAAGTGTATTGTGTGTGTGGGGACCAACATTTACTCAGTTAATACTAACATATGTTGTTCCACATTATTTCTGTACCATAAAAATTGGTCCACATAATCCTTGTTTGTACCTGGTGTACACAGGGACTGATCCAGGAGCATCTCCTGAAGGAAAAATCAGAACCTGAATGGAAATAATTACTCCCAAAAAGTTATTTACAGAGAGTATATGATCCCCGTCAAATGGTTTTATGTTTATAATCCCCAAAAAATTGTTTTATGGTGATGATCCCCACTAAATATTTSTATGTTTATGATCCCCTTCAAATTSTTTYATGTTTCAGATCCCCGTTACACTGCTTTATTCTTAAGATCCCCGTTGTCTCCTGCTAAGTGCAAAGCTACATAACGTTACAGGTTTTCATTAGGCAATGCCAGCTTTGGTGAACCTTGACTGAAGCTGCTACAAGACAGGCAGTACCACTGAGTATTTTCAGAAAAAAAAAAAATACCTAAATTCAGTATACTGAAATTCACACTACACAGACACAATTTCAATACAACTCCTTTCTGTAAATTACGACAAAACAAAACACATTCACTTTTTCTCAATATTTAGAGGATGACACCTAAAAAGATAAATGCAACACCAGAAATCCAGCATCTGTGGGATGCACACAAAGACAAGGCAGATGCTTAGAATCACAAAACACRACAGGACAAGAAGGAAAGATAGATTTGCAGATAGAGATACTTAAAAATATGCAGTAGCTCGGAGGCTGCAGAGGACTGTTTTCCACTTGTGGGAAAATCAGTCCTCTGTTTCAAATACGATAAAACGTGTGTTTCCATCTCCCAGGTGAGTTATGTGGTTATAACTCACAGACTCACAGGATGGTTTGGGTTGGAAACTGTCTCAAATAAAAGCTTATATCTCATTCCAACCCCCCTGCCATGGGCAGGGACAYCTTCCACTCTTCCAGGTKGCCCCAAGCTYYGTGAGCTTTGCCAGCTCTGTCCAACCTGGCCTGGRACCCTCCAAGGRATGGGGCAGAGCCACAGCTTCTTGGGGAAAACTGTGCCAATGCTCCAACTTCCCTTAAGTTGTTTGGTTGTGGTTTTTTGGTCTGTGTGAGCAGGAGGACAGAGCTTTTCCCTGCTCTTGAGTGTATGCGTGTGTTGTTTTTGTGTGTGTGTGTGTGTGAAGTGCCCCTACTCCTGCAGACAAGCTGTGGTACCCCAGTGTCTGTATCCCGGTGAAAAGGGCTGTGACTGGGGACAAATTGCTCCTGCCTGACACGGAGGGACTTTTGGGAAAGGAGGAGCTGCAGAAACTGCAGAAAGGAACAGAGCGTGGTTCATCTCCAGGCTCTGCCTGAGCCACCCTTCCTCTCCTGAAGGGAACAGACTCCAGAGAGCTGTAGCTGGAGCAGATTGAGGTGGCCGAGGAGCCTGGTGGGCAGTGTGATTTGGGCTCCTTTGCGGCACGGGGCTTGTCCCATGCCCTGCTGGGCTCCAAAGGTGCCCACCCCGTTGTGTGCTGGGCTGCAGCTGCTGTGCCCCGCTGGCCCCCAGTGCTCCCGGTGTTCAGCAGGAATTCCGAGGGCAGCACAGCTCTGCAGCGTGAGCTTTGCCAGCTCTGTGGTGCTGCTGGCTCGCAGTGAAGCCGCTGAGGCCAGACACAGAGCCTGCTGCTGCCTGCCCCATGTGGGCAGTGTTTCTGGRTTCTCTGCGTATGTACAGCCTGGACACTGCTGTCCAGCATCACAGTCAAATGTTTCARGCTCCCAAATGCCATGTGCACAACCTCTCTGGGTACAGAAGGGATATGTACTTGGGGAAATCTAGAAGGGGTAGTATTTACAACCTACAATGAGAAATGCAATGCTTAAGGACCATTGTGGGTTGAACCTGTCACATGCAAGTTGAAATCCTTACAAAACCTGCAAAATAAACATTCTTCAGCTGTCAGTGTCTCATTAGCTAAGTTTGTCTTTTCTTTTAGTCTCTGAGCTGCTTGACTCGTCCTGAGTCAGACTTTATATCACAGACCTGCTCTGTTTTGTGATAGGTACCATTACAGTCAAGGAGTGTGGTGAATATTTACATATTATAAAGATCCCCTTTGTCTCCTGTTACAGTCTCCTGCTCAGACTGTAAAATGCTCATATGGCTTCCTGCTCAGACTGTAATCTGCTCATATGGCCTCCTCCGCAGCAGATTCGTATCTTTGGGACCCCTAGGGAAAGCAGAYCCTGGTGGTACCAAGTGTGTTTGTCCATAAGAAATCATTCCAGAAACTGTGTTTATGACGGTGAGCTCTGGAACTGGGGGATGMGGGTTCACATTCAGTGGTGGCAGAAAACCTGGCCTTGGCTGATCCAGCATTAAGGCTCCTGAACTCTCTCCGTCTGGAGAAGCTTTATTTCTGCCTCTTGGAGAAACAGGAGACATCCTCTCCAGACCTCTTCTCGGACTTGGTAATAAAGTGTGATAKGTAGGAACAATCATCTCTTTCTTCCCTTTTGGTGATTTACTGTCTTTTGAATCAGTGGCAGGAATTACACTATTAGTGAACTGAGGACTGGAGATGTTGTAATTTGATTCTCCATTTCCTTTCTTGACAATACTGCCGAGGTTTGAAAGTAAGCCGATTTGTCCCAGACTGGCATCCATGCCCATGGGAATCTCACTGGGATTATGCTTCTCTTCCACAAAAGGAGACCGATAGTTTATGGCATCACGTAATGCTTTCCTTGACAGGGTTTGATCAGGGGTTTTCAGGATRTGAGCGGTGTCTTTTCTGTCAATACATTCGTGACTGCTGTTGACTCCCTTGGTTAAAGCAAGGCTRCTGACTTTGCATGAGAGCTCTTCTGTGGGACTGATACTTTGAAGATCCTGTGAAGAAGCAACTTTCCTCTGCTGAAACAYTGCTGGACAGCACTTCAGCCACGGATCACACTGCAGCACCTGTGTCAGCTTGAACCGTGCTGGTGTTGAGCTGGATTTGGTCATTAATGGCACTGTTTCAGACGAGTTGTCCCCCGGTTGTCCACCGTACAACTCTTTATAGCTGAATGGATCTTCTGGGCCCTCATTTGATTCTGTTTGTGACGGGGAGGTGCAATCATCTGAGGAAGCGCATTCCTCGAGGTCTGGAGGAGGCATGTTCAGGTACTGCTTTGTCTTCTGCCTCCCCGAGGCGGACTTGTCCGTCACGATGATGATCACTTCCTTCCCCCGCGCCTTGCAGGCCTTCAGCAGAACTTCCAGCGTGTCTTTGTCTGCGGCGTTGATGGCGTACACCAGCGCCGAGCAGTTGGAGTGATCTGTCAGGCTGGGGTCAGCCCCGCTCATCAGCAGCAGAGACACCACCTCAGGGCCTGCTTTTTCCATGCAAGCATGCATCAGGGCTGTCTTCCCAGACTTGTCCTGTATGTTGGGGTCAGCCTTGTTGTCCAGCAGGTATTTCACCATCCTGGCCTTGCTGGCGCTCTGTAAGTCCACGTGTTTTGTCAAGCAGGCGATCATGAGAGGGGTTTCTCCCCTGCTGTTGCTCTCGTTGATGTAGGCACCGCCRTCTATCAGCAGCCTGGTGAGGCGGAGGCGCCGCTGGTACACGGCTTTGATCAGGGAGTAGCCCTCGGGTGGCACGTCCACCACGTCCATCATCCTGCTCTGCTCACCTGCACCTTCCTAGGGGCTGGGAAACACACCTGACACCTGGCTTCTGGATGAGCCAAAGAGATCCTCCAGAAAAGTAGGAGGAAGTAGAAAAAGAAAAGAGAGGATTTAACAGCACTAATTGATCCTGTAAACTCCCTCGTGCTTTGCGAAAAACCATTGAAGAGAAGAAAAGAAGAAAGATTTTTCCACACTCTACACTGACAAGAAATGCATAAAAAACTTTTAAAAGCCCAACATCAATATAATTATAACATTTAGCAAAGAATAAAGCGTGACTKTCACCTTACTTTTTGATTGTCCTTTAAGCAGCTCTCTGAGTGGACAGTATCAGCTCTACAACAAACAAAAAAAAACAAACAAAAAAWTAAGAGCTTAATGTGGCATAAATAACAAAAGGCCATATACAAATAGGACATACTACCTGCAGACATGCAACTAACACTTTTATGTCTTGTATGTGCTTGTTTACCTGAGTGTAGAGAAAACTTTTAGAGAAAAAGAACCCCAGTATTTAATAATTGGCAGAGAAATACAATTTCAATACAAGATTAGACTTGGATTGAATGATTACATTAGTTTATTTACAGTATATTTCTAGAGAAATAAAAATGTTTAGTGCAACTGTAAAGGAAATTTATTAATCATTTTTATTCATCACTGAAAACACCAGTAGTGTTCTGGTGATTAGCTGAAAAGCAGTAATTTCATTCTGTTTCACTTTGAATGCCAAAACTGAAGGATGATGTCAATGGAGTTTGTTCAAACAGCCCAACAAGCAAAAAGAAAAAGGAGTCAGATTTCCTGCCTGAAAAACTTTGACTGGTGGCTTGGGTTTTTCCCCCCTCTGTCTTGAAAAACATTTTTAAAAGGTAATTGCTTTTAAATTTAAGGATTCATTCCATTATTCTGGAAGTACAGGATTCAGTACTGTCTATCTCAGCTTTCCTTGAAGTGCAAATCATTATTATGTTTTTTATGCATACTTCTGACAAGTAATTTATTCAAGATTATTGTAAAACCTTCTATGGAAGTATCTGATCAATTTGTGCATCTAGGTTTCCAGAAGCAAACTGCAGAGAATRTATCTGGTAGATACCACACAGGCTGGATTTTTGATTGTGTTCCCCCTTGGTCTTGACCTATCTGGAAGTTATTGGTGATTTTTACATTTATTTCCTATTTATCTAAAGCTCTTCTGATACTTAACTGCTCRCTTTACTTCAGCAATGGCATGTAGCTCTTACTACATAAGTCTTTTCATCTGTAGAAGTACCTTTTATAGCCAAAAGAACATTAAATATCAAACAGGTGTGGTAAGAGGATAATGCTACCTGGTCTGATGCAGCAGGTCAGAGCTAGAGGYAAGGCTGTTTTTCTAACATCTTATCTAAACCCACCTGTTGCTTAAATTCGTAGTTTTCCACCAGCTTCACCAGGACTGTTGATCTGAGRGGTGTGGAAGGCTGACCTAAGACAATGGTTGAAGTTTGAAAGTTAGGAGGAAATGGTGTTGGTAGTTATGAACCTGTCTGGAGAAACCCTGAGATGTTTTTGTGCAGAGAAAAGTCACTGGAAGATACATGAAATGTGGTAACAAAACCCCAAACCCACGAGCACTTCAGAATCAGATATTGTGCAATCAAAAGAAGCTTTTACAGATTCTCAGCTGGAACAATACAGCACAGAACACAGTCCCAAGTGCTGAGCAATAGCCACAACTTCATCTGGAGAATCGGTTAATCACAGAAGACCTTACCTGAGGACCAATCCTTACTCTTAAATCTGTCACTGTGGGA